TTGCTTGCTTGCTTGCTTGCTTGCTTGCTTGCTTGCTTGCTTGCTTGCTTGCTTGCTTGCTTGCTTGCTTGCTTGCTTGCTTGCTTGCTTGCATGCTTGCTTGCATGCTTGCTTGTTTGCTTGCTTGCAAAACTTTCTCTTTTCTTTTTGAAATTGTGATGTATGTTTTGTAGTTGACAATTTGTTTTTCATCAGAATTGACAACGACAACACAAACAATGACAACACAGTCACCGCCACCAACAACAGAATTACCGACAACAACACAGTCACTAACTACAGAGGCAACGACGTCAACACAGTCACAGACAACACAAACAACGACTGCAGAGACACAAGTTTCCCTTCCGAAGTCTTGTCTGGTAATACTAAGAAGTGGAAATTCTGTTGGTGATGGTGTATATTCGATCGATCCAGACCGGACAGGAATACCAATACAAGCTTATTGTGACATGACAACAGATGGAGGTATGCAAACGTATTACAGTACATGGTACCTCTATTAAAGCGGACACTCTTGGGACCCTTCCCTACATGTTGGGAACTTAGGATCCTTCTCAATATGTTGGGACCCTTCCCTACATGTTGGGAACTTAGGATCCTTCTCAATATGTTGGGACCCTTCTCTACATGTTGGGACCTTGGGACCCTTCTCTACATGTTGGGACCTTGAGACCTTCTCTTCATGTTGGGACCTTGGGCCTTCTCTATATGTTGGGACCTTGGAAACTTGTCTATATGTTGAGAATTTGGGACCCTTCTCTCTACGTTGGGACCTTGGGATTCTTCTCTACATGTTAGGACCTTGGGACCCTTCTCTACATGTTGGGACCTTCTCTATATGTTGGGACCTTGGGACCCTTCTCTACATTTTGGGACCTTCTCTATATGTTGGGACCTTGGGACCCTTCTCTACATGTTAAGNGACCTTCTCTATATGTTGGGACCTTGGGACCCTTCTCTACATTTTGGGACCTTCTCTATATGTTGGGACCTTGGGACCCTTCTCTACATGTTAAGACCTTCTCTATATGTTGGGANGACCTTCTCTATATGTTGGGACCTTGGGACCCTTCTCTACATGTTAAGACCTTCTCTATATGTTGGGATCTTGGGACCCTTCTCTATCTGCTTGTTAGAGGGTGTCCCCTTCAAAAAGATTTGCTTAAAATATACATTTATAATAAAGATGTCCTTTGATCGAATAAAGGTTCGTATTACAGTAAGAGGTTTTTTACGAGTAGAAAAGGAAACCCTACCACTAGGCTTACGCTAGCAATAGGCCAATCCTAACCCGGGTTACCCTATAGTGGTAGGGTTAATAGACCTTTATTTAGTTTCCTCTTTCGCCGTGCACATTTCAGACCAAGTGATGCCACTCTTGGAGGTTGATTTTTTTGTGTGTAAATATTTTAACATGTTCGTTATAAAAGAACAATATTTAAGAGAATGTCATGTATTCTGAAATGGGCAATTTGCAATTTGCTGAACATTTTAAGGTGGCTGGACGATAATCAAGAGAACCATCTTTCAAACTACAACTCCGCCTCAAAATTTGAGGATTAAGGATTATAGAGTCATTTCTGAGTTTAATACAAACGACAGGAATATCTTCCCCACTTCAAAAGCATTCTTGGACATCCTTCAAAAGATGGGATTCCACCAGATTCATTACTATTGTTACAAGAAATCCGTCGGAAGGGTCGTCAGCATCCGTACGAGAAACGACACAATTGGTCACCAAGTAGTACGTTACTTCACAGATGATAATTTTGCAATGTCAAATTTCGTGGCGGCCTGTGAGTCGTTCGATCGACTTCCCGAGGATACGTCAGTACTGGGTCAGAATTGTGCAAAGTGGAACAAAGACACAGGCACATGGGGTAAAACCATTGGTTCTTCGCGGACGATGACAAAACCGTTTTACATTAAGGCGTCCAATACTTATGGCTGCAATGTTAACCCGCCAGACGTCGACTACTGTGCCTGTGACGACGATTATTCGACGCCACTATCGTATAATTCCCAGGATCGATGGCAGATTTCAGTCAGGTAGTTGCACAATCTCGTACCCAGAGCCTGCGTTTCTTCTGGCCTGCGGCGAAGAACGAGGGCTCTGGCATAATCCATATTTTGCTGCATGCGCAATTTTCGGAAAGTGAAATATAAACGGTCAAAATAAGCAAAGTAAAAATTAAGTCGAAGTCAAAGCCAGAGCCCTCGTTCTTCAACGCACGCCAGAAGAAACGCAGGCTCTGGGTAAGAGATTGGTAGTTCGACTCTTGAAACCCCTGCCCCCGACCCCTAGAATAAGGCATGGAATTAAAATGGCAAGACCGAGGATTTAACGCGCATTCACTAGCGTCAATTCACGTATATACGGGGAATTTAACACGTATACTTCAACATTTATTTAAACAACTTAACGGCAATTCTAAAACTCATGAATATTTAATGATAGCAAAGCAAATCACTACTGTGACGGTGGTTTGGAAATGTGAAAGAAATATTCATGAGTTTGAGAAGTAACTTGAAACACTTGAGAGAGTTCTTCCTCCGATTTCCAAACACCTCAAAGTCAGTTAAAAAAACTCGGCTGCGCCTGTGTGTTTGAAATATTACTTAAAAACCAACCACGCCTTTTTACTATTGTTTTATGTAGGGTTTGAATTTCGATGRAAAACCTGTCCCGGGTATGCTAGCCCAAACGTGACAAAACTTCAAGTTGCAGTTTTTTATGATCAAGCAGTACTTTTTATACATCAAGTTGATTTTCATTACACCAAGACCCTTGTGTTCTATGTCTAGTCATTTGTTTTTGATATCAAGCGCAATGTTTAAGTTGACAAGCAGCCATCGCAATCAAAAGTCATTTAGGTCTTTGCGATTTGCATACAAAAGGGAACGCTAGAAGCACTCAGGAGAAGATTGATTTCGATCAGCTTGAGATCGATGAACGCGCTAGGTCTGGAAGCTAATCGCAGGCGGGAGGAGGGAGGGCGTTGAAACGGGCATGAGCACTACTCTGCCTGTCAACAATGGCGGACCGTTTGTGGAGGAAGTTCGGCTGACAAGAAGATCTTTCAAAGGTAAATTTAGGCTTGTTTATCTTTGTTTTTAGCCAATAAAACAATTTTATTGGTGTTAGAGAACACCCAAAACATGATAAGAGTTTTCATTACGAAGAATTCGCTAGTTTTTTTTCCGCTAGTTTTTATATAGCAAATGCGGGCGCAGTTGCTAATCTACATTTGAGATGTCAAAAAACCAATCTTGCTCAAATTTGCTCAGTCTGATTTTTTTCACATAAGTAGAACACTATATAAACATTTCAAAAAAAAAATATAAACTAGGTTTTGGAAAACATTGTAATAGAGCCAAAAATGCCCTGCGCCCGCATTTGCTATATAAAATCTAGCGTAAACACCATGAAAAATGGTTCTTTGAGTACGAAAACCAGCGAATTCTTCGTAATGAAAACTCTTATCATGTTTTGGGTGTTCTCTAACACCAATAAAATTGTTTTATTGGCTAAAAACAAAGATAAACAAGCCTAAATTTACCTTTGAAAGAGCTTCTTGTCAGCCGAACTTCCTCCACAAACGGTCTGCAATTGTTGACAGGCAGAGTAGTGCCCATGCCCGTTTCAACGCCCTCCCTCCTCCCGCCCTGCAACTAGCTTCCAGACCTAGCGCGTTCATCGGTCACAGGCTGATCGAAATCAATCTTCTCCTGAGTGCTTCTAGCGTTCCTTTTGTATGCAAATCGCAAAGACCTAAATGACTTTTGATTGCGATGGCTGCTTGTCAACTTAAACATTGCGCTTGATATCAAAAACAAATGACTAGACAAGCGAAASAAATGACTAGACATAGAACRCAAGGGTCTTGGTGTAATGAAAATCAACTTGATGTATAAAAAGTACTGCTTGATCATAAAAAACTGCAACTTGAAGTTTTGTCACGTTTGGGCTAGCATACCCGGGTTTTGAATTCAGCATTGATACTAACAGGGGAGAGAGGGGCTGAATTCAAAACCCTGGACTGGTTCCCCATCGAAAAAAATCAAACACTACATCAAACAATAGAAATAGGAAGGGGTTGGTCTTTGAACCGATTATGGTCAAGACGCGTGCTCGCGTTTGCATTGAAATTCAATGCAAACCCTTTTTAAGTGTCGTATATAAAGGGGAAAAATGTCAAAATCGCTTAAATGTAAACAATGTTGTACGGCTGCAGTATTTTTGTGTGGAAAGTATTTGGTTTTCGTTGATATGAAATATCAAAATGCATGACGTAAATTCAAGGCCATTTGTTAACAGCTATTCTAACCTTATGAATATTCATTAGACTTAATGATGACGTAATTGGCACTTTCAAAACATCACTCGTACCTATAAATTCCGAATTGTCTTTGATATCGTCTCGATTTCCTATACGAATCACCACCGTGTTATTTGATTACAGACTCAGTTACTCAGGATTCTCGTATCAGTGTTTAAATATTCACGAATAACACGGTAAAGAAAAGAATGCACAACTTCAACAATGCATACACTTTGAGATTCCACGGACCTTCACTGGAACACATAAATTTTAGGTACAAAATCGAGGCTAAACCTGCACACGAAGAACTAGAAAGTGGAGTATTATATCCATTAAAAAAAAAAAAATTTCTACCCAAAACAATTAGAACTTTGCACAAAAAAATCCTGTCAAGAAGAAAGAGTAAAAAATATTATAGAACTGCTTTCCAGCGACAGTCCGCTGACCAAAAAAACCGGAAGACTCTGGGCTCGACATTGTTAAGAAGGCTACTTTATATAGCAAACTACTATTTTAGCGTATTCTTTAATGAAACAATGCTGTATTTTGAACCTCGATTTATAACGTAATAAAGGATCATAAGTTCGAACAAGATCACTGCTTCATTTATATAATTGCTTCAGACAACATTGTGCTTGAGCAAAACTATTTATATATGTATAGATAGATATATGCATCGCAATAGCAATATGGATCTGATATCCGTATAACAAACAATTTATTCATTTGTACACCTCCAAGTAGCCCAAGCTATGTACGAGTGACCTCGACGCTTTTAGTTATGGTCTTCCTGTGTTCGCGAAAGATTACAAGGAAAAGGAGACAAGACTGTTAGATCTGATTTTGTGGTTTACTCAAACTTTCGTAAACTGTGTACTTTTTGACAAATTCTCCTTTTCGGCGCTAGCCCTCACGGGGTATGAATTGTTTTAGATTGTGTTACAGTCACCAAAACGTTCGGACATTGTTCTCGAATTTCCGTACAAATGTACTGACTCTAAATAAACTATTTACTTGGTTAATGTTTAGTTCTCTAAATACAAGTAAATAATCATTTTTCTAGCTTGATTGAAGCTTTTCTTACTGCTGTTAAGATAGCTAACTAAAGAAATCTACCTAAATTTTCTCTTTAAGTTTGTATGGAAATCTGAGAACGATGTCCGAACTTTTTGGTGACCGTAACACAATCCAAGCTAGCGCCGAAAAKGTGAATTGGGTTTCATAAACAAGGTGCATTGTGGTCTAGCTTGGGTACAAACAACACCATATAAGAGATTGTTAACTAATTTTTTTTCACGCGAGCTGGACCACACTGCAATAGATTCGCAATCTCAAACCACGTCTTTTAAGAAAACCTAATAATATTCCTTGTTCTCTGTCACGTGACTGAGATAACCATTTTTGATAATTCAGTCGAAAGTTACCTCTATTTTTATTATTAAGGCAACGAAAGGTAAGCAATGTTTTATAGTAATAACGATTCACTCATACAAGCTTGGGCTGCCTGTGGTACACAACACACAAACCAATGAACGACTCGGTATTTCATAATCATTAACTCCCATCGTGCTTTGCTCTTGAAAATTAAATTTCATTAGTCCATCAGACCTGACATGCGCAAGAATCGGAAAGACCAGCGTCCCTCTGACTTACACATGAAACAAGACCGCTGAATCACTGATTAATCAAGAAAACCGCTGTCCGAAATATCTGACTTGCGCATTACATAAATCACGAAGTCTCAAAAAACCCAGGAGTTTCAGTGAATGGCTATTTTTTGGCCTTTTGTTCTAGCAGCCAATTCGGAGGCAACAACGTTTTTCAATAAATCATAACATATTCTTACACGTAAGACAAGCCACCGGTGAGAATGTTCACAAAGGAACAAAAAAATCATGACCGATTCCAATGCATTATGGGATTCTGCTCCATCCAGCTGGGTAGTCTGCGTACCGGCCGGTGAAGATAATTGACATAGCGTCGCTACGCATGCTATCACCATGGTAACAACGCTAATAAATAGTAAAGCTGCTTGTAAATGATAGATAAAGTGATTATGATTGTTCTGTGTCAATTCTGTCATAAACTCTGGACGAGCTCAATAAATTGGATCAGTTTGTCTACAGAGTTTTTGGCCATTTTGTTGGATGTGGACAGTTCACTCTTGGTTTGCATTTGTTCCTAGAAAAGAATTCAAGAATAGTTGTGGTATTATTCTTAATAAAAAAGAAAGGAAAAGAAAAGAAAATAAAGGAAGAAAAAAGAGAAGAGAAGCCAAGGGAAGGCAAGGGAAGGCAAGGGAAGGCAAGGG